ATCTCCAATTAAGCTCCAGACATGCTATAACCTGCAAAGACTCTTCTAGGACTCTAAAAATACCAAAAAGACTCAATAAAAAGGACTTATATCATGGTTAAAAACCATAAAAACCATGATATATCAACTATGTGGACATAGAAGAGATGCTACACAAAGCAGTTTTTTCGAGCAACAAGTAAAAAGGAAAGGGACGTACAGTTCGGGTCCTGGTACCGGTCCCAACAGCCGATCAGTCTACCCGCGGGACGACAGAAACTCGTACCGGTCAGCTTACCCGCAGGACGATAAGAACCACTCAAGAGAGAATAGACCGACCGTTCCAAAACCCGAAGCTACATCTTTTCGAGGAAAACCTAAAGAGGCTGGAGCTAAGACGCGAGATGTTAAGTGTTTTAAGTGTCAAGGCCGTGGGCATTACGCTAATGAGTGCATCAACAAGCGTGTCATGGTCTTGCTTGAAAACAGTGACATAGAATCAGAAGATGAACAGCAAGAAGAAACAGAGGAAGAACGTGAGCTGTTACCAGTCCAGGGGGAGTTACTTGTAGCTAGAAGAACGTTGACAGTGCAAAGCAAACCGGAAGAACAAGATCAGCATGAAAACCTATTCCACACCCGTTGCTTGGTTCAGGGGAATGTTTGTAGTTTGATCATAGACGGCGGGAGTTGTGCGAATGTTGCGAGTGAAATCATGGTCAAGAAAATGGGTTTGCAAGCCACTCCTCACCCAAGCCCTTATAAGTTGCATTGGCTGAATGAGAAAGGAGAAATGAGGGTCACCGAGCAAGTTTTAGTGCCATTGGCGATTGGAGAATATAAGGATGAGATACTTTGCGGCGTGCTACCTATGGAAGCAAGTCATATCTTGTTGGGGAGGCCGTGGCAATCTGACCGCCGAGTGGTACATGATGGGTTTTCGAACTGTCATTCTTTTGAGTTTAAGGGTAAGAAGAATGTTTTGGTTCCCATGACCCCTCAAGAAGTTTACAACGATCAGAAACAAACTTTGAGGTCAGCCAAACATCTAAATTTCTTTGCTAAAGCCGGAGAGGCTTAGAAAGCTTTACTTAATATGATCCTGGAAAGGATCCTCCCAAAATCGTCACCTTGAAAGTAAGTTGGGATAGATTTCATCCAAGAACACAAAGGATCAAGGAGCAAGAAAGGGGGGATCGAATGGTCACACAAGAGTTGCGGAATGGCTCTTGATTTACCTCTCAAAACTCTCAGATATTACACACTAAAAGCATTGAGGATTTTGCTGGATATTACACGCCAACAAGATGAATCTAACTGAAAAGATTTTAATAAAAAGATAGATTATTTTCGTCCATAGTACATAGGGGGATTATAAAGAGAAGAGAAGAAGAAGGAAATGAAGAGACAAGTCTTGGAACATGCTCCTTGACTTGTCTAGAAAATAAAAAAAAATTAAAACAAGTTTAAACATGAAAATATGACCCTTAAGCTTCTGTTTTCGTCACTTCTCTTGACCAGCAAAATAAGCACTTGGTTTGGACTCTTCTTGGGCTTGTAATGGGCATAAAAAGCATTGGTCTTCATAGCATCTCCTTTGGGTCGAATTCTGAATGTCATGCCTTGGCCTGGATCATCAAATGGGTGATTTGAATGTGTAATATTTGCCTCATTAAAAACCTTGTCAAGAAAACCCATTGGGACAAAACTTGACAAAGAAAAAAGAGAACAAATGAGACACATGCCCATTTGATGATCATGTATCAAAACCAATGAGGTTAAGATAACAACTTTTCCATACTCTTTTTCCACTCCAAGAGCATCCTCAGCTACAAGCTGCTCCTCTGGTTCATGCTGCTCCACTGGTCCAAGCTCTTCCTCACGTTCCCAGCTTCCTATGATCTCCATGATCATATCAGAAATAGATAGGGGAGAATTAAAGGGAGAGAAAGAAGGAGATAGAAAATAATAAAGCTCGATGCTCAAAGCATTGCTTGAGTCAGATTATTTTTCTTTTAGACTCTTCTTTATTGATTAAGTGGGTCAGTTGAAAGTAAGATTTTTATTTGTTGAGAGAGAGAGAGAGAGAGAGAGAGAGAGAGAGAGAGAGAGAGAGAGAGAGAGAGAAGGAGAGAGAGAAGGGAAAAGGTAGGGTGTGGGGGAAGGGGGAGGGAGAGGGGGAGGTGGGGGTAGGGGGAGGGAGGGGAGGGTAGGGAGAGGGAGAAGGAGGGAGGGAGAAGAAGGTTTATGATTTTTGTTCAGAATTGCTATGTTTTTGTTTCTATGCTTACGTTGTTTGTTATGTCTCTCTTTATTTTGTTATGACTATAGTTTTTAAGCATAATTTAATGATGTGTATTTTTTGCTCTTTTGAAAAAGGAATAAAAATATTTAAAAATGAATAAAGAACAAGGATATTTGTGTGTGGACTAATAAATCATTTCGAGCGTTTAAGAGTCAACGACAGCACTTGAAGCTTGCGATTTATTCACTTCGTTTAAAAGATCGAGTCCATGAATTATTGATGCCGTTTAGGGTGATATTCTCAATAGATTTGATGGCCATGTGATTGGTGTTAGGGTTTCTAAATTCTAGAAAGAGTCAATGTGGTGATTATTTTAGTTCTAAAATATATGATGTTCTCTAGCTTTGCCCCTTTAGGCTGTATGTGTTGAGTATTAAGAGCAAGCTAGCGAGATAAAGAGTGATCTACTTCGAAAATAAGAAAAAGAGGGAGAAGGAGAGAGCAAAAGAGAGACATATAGATGGAGGAGATAGAGAGAGAGAGAGAGAGAGAGAGAGAGAGAGAGAGAAATAGGTAGCGGAGAATTAAAAAGAGAGAAAGATGGGAGAAATGAATAATAAAGTTCGATGCTCAAAATACTATTTCAGTCGGTCGATTTTGAATAATATGACAGGTTTGGAGTCTTCTTTAATGATTAAGTGGGTGGATTGTAACTAAAATTTTTATTTGAATGATTAAGTGGGTGAAGTCTTCTCTGCTGTCCTAACATATTTATAGTGGTAATAAATTGGAATGTGTTGCTTACGAAAAATTGGTAATTGATTTCAATGATATATGGTATTATCATGGCAATGGATTAATGATTTGTGTTCTAAGTGATTGACGTGCCATTAGACAACGAGGTCATACTGATTTTTTAAAAATCTAATGTGTTTAGATTTTACGATATATGCAATAATTTTTTTTTTTTTAGAAATTCTGCTTATATAGATATCATGTTTTCGATTGTGTTATAATATCAAGATTCCAATTTGATCCTGATATCCAAGAGGCTCCTAAGTTGAGGCATGCGATGTAAGTGTATAACTAAATGATTTTGTTTTAGTATATTCTGTTTATTGTAAACTAATGATTACCATTCTATAAACTCGAAGATAGCGATGCAGAGGATGATGAATATGATCACAATTCTTCTCCGTAGCTCAGAAATTATACATGGACTTGTGCTGAAAATGCACTTTATCTACTAGATGCTCATATATTAAATATATTGATATTTCTTTCACGATGTTACATTATTTTCTATGTTTTGTTTTGTTACTTTTCTTAATTACAATATTCGCATCGTAATTGTGTTTTTCTTAAAACAACTTTTGAAATTTTGATTTGCTTAAAAATTATTTTTTAGTTTGCTTTAGATTTCGAATATGGCTCAACTTCTTTCTGCTGTTATTCATAGTTCGTGTACTACTTATATAGTTACTAATTCTGATTTCAATCATCTTAAAATTGTGTGAGTTATCAAGATTAAAGTTCTCTGAAAGTTTATGCACTTACATAGTGTTGATAACTGCTATTCTAATAGTATGTTTTCATAATTATCTTTTTATTATTGTATTTGAATTATCTTGATAAATAAAATTATTCAATATTTGTATGTTTGCGCCATACGCGAACTAACCAACTACTTTAAAAATATTATAAAATTGAACATTTATGCAAAAAATAATAATAATAATTTAGCTGTCTATAAATTAAAATTATTTTGACTATAAATGAATTAGTAACTATTAGAACAATATATTTTATACCACAACAATATATTTTTTAATACTCTCTATTTTTCATTCTATCTTCAAATTAGTTTAAAAGTATTATTATGTTTTAATTTCTTTTACATCAAATTTACAAATTTATGTTTCTTATATTGCCACTTAAACAACATACTAACTACAAACCTTTCCATTATTATAAGTTTATAACATTGACGTACTTCTTCCATTATTATAACATTTATGTACTTTTGTAAAGCCATTTGTTTAGATCAAAAAGATCGCTACAACAGTATCATATGCATTATAAAGAAAAGTGAATGATTTACCAATAAATAATTTTCTAAAATGCCGTCCAAAAAGGGTAAAATCTTTAAAACTAAAAGCTATAATGAGGATCTGAGAATTTGTGTATTTTTCATTCAATTGGATAGAAATGTTGAGAAAGGAAAGATTGATTGTCTTTCAAAAACATGAGGCGAACCTGAGGTTTACCCAAAATAATTATTAAAAAAGAAAATGGAATAAAAAATTAAGACGGTGTGGAGATATTTTCCACTGGAACAAAATATCTTTGATATTTTTTTTTGAAATATCTGAAAGTTTTCATTCCGCCAAATTGACCGGTGATGACGTGTCGCCATTACCACGTGTAAAAGCGTCTACAACTGTACCGTTCTTTTGTCTTTCCATCTCTGTTTTTCACCTTCTACTCCTCTCTCTTTCGTGTCTCTCTCTCCCTCTGATATTTTTTTTCTCCTTCTCTCTCTCTTCTTTCTCAACAAGATAGCCAATGGTTGGTGATTACAGAGGGAGCTATAGCCGGAGCTCCGAAAATTCCGAAGATGCTTCTTCGGTTCAGGAAGAGACGACTTCTTCAATTGTATGTTCCATGTTTCTCTGATTCGTTTTTTCTCTCCCTTATTGCATGTCTGTTTATTCTCCGGAATCGTCGTCGTTTTCATCGTTCAGATCTAAAGTTTCTGAATTTTTCGCCGTTTTTAATGGTGGTAATGTGGTTTTGAGGGGAATATTGTTGAGAAAATTAAGAGTTTATCGAACAAAGATTGTTTAGGTTATTCTTTTGCAAAAAATAAATATTGTTAGGTTATTATTAACAATTGTAATTTTTTGATTGCAGTCTTACTTATTAATTTGGTTCACAGTTTTGCGATTTACAGAGATATGATTAACTAATTACAATTTGAACAAAGATTATTAGTTTTCTACAAATAATTTGAGTTGTTCGTTGGATATATCATTAACTAATTGCAATTGTGCATTAACTGCTAGTTGAACTACACTAAATCATGTAAAAATGTTTTGTATAATTGATTTTCTTCATTTAACAATGTTACAGTATTCTGCTGGAAAAGAGTATACGCCAACAGAATGGACTGATGAGAAGCATAGTTTGTATCTTAAATCCATGGAAGCTTCATTCGTGGACCAGCTTTATAACTCCCTTGGTGCGCTCGGTTCGAATTTAACCAAAGATAATGTACCGAACGGTCTAGGACCATCGATACGGTTCGGTAGTAGCGTTAGAAAACCTTCTGAAGAACAGGTATGACATGAGACATTTTACTCTGTTTCTTCATAGGAGGCCGAGATGTGATTGATCCAAGATATTGAATTTAGCCTATTCTATATTGTTTTTGCTTCTAGTTCAAGGTTCTTCGTGATGGTTTCTGGCAGAAGATGAATGTAAGACAACCCGAGTATCGTCTCAATGGAAGGTCTCACGAGTTTCTTCGGAGCCCGTGGATCAAACATTATAAACCTATAGCGAAGACTCATACTCCGTTAACAGATGATGGTTGTTCGGAGCTCGAGAACTCAAATGGGAAGAAGGGGATAGTCATATGCAGCTCTGGTTCGGCCTCGATTCTTAAGCAGATATTACGGGAAGGCTGCTCTCATTCGCGTGATCGGGATCAAATCAGTATCGGAGAAGGTATTATTTAGTGATTCCTCTTTTCAAAAGATGTTGTCTTTACTATGAAGTTGTATACTAAATGTGTTTCTTGTTTGTCTAATGTTTTCAAAGAAGAGGTATCTGACCAGAACTTTATCAACGAAGTAGCGAAAGCCGAAAATGGAAGCTCGAAGAAGATGAAGACAGTGATGAGCGGATCGTCGAGTTCTGATCAGGTAACTTTCTCCAACCAATTAGTTTGATCATATTATTATTACCGAATGTTACTAGTTTATTGATCGAATATATGGTGTTGTTCCCTGGCATATATAGGTTGTTCCACTCAGAAAAACTCCTGCAAACATGATGGCATAAATTGAAGTCTGTTTCTAGGAGAGGTCGTTAAAGCTGGTGTGAGAGGAGAATTTTGTAATGTATATAGAATATGAATAACTAAAAAAAGTCAACTTACTATGGTTTAGTTACATGTGTCTTCATCATATCTCCCTAACTATAAATATATATGCTCGTGTGACTGGATTCAAATGTAATGCGAACCTTAAATTTGCATCAAGTTAGTTTAGTTTTTTTTTAATTTGTTTATTGTCTTAGTGCCACTATTATTATAGTATTATAGTATTAGTGCTTTGAACTTCCATTTCTTCTTCTTATATACAACGATTACTTTGAGCGTTGTTCTAGCAAAATGCCACACTTTGACAGGTTACAATACTAGTTGGAAAAATGGGGTCAAAGAAGAATATAACAAACTAGGAAAAGGCAACGCGCAAATTAACAATATATTGATTATTTTAATTTTATAATTTAATTTAAGAAAGACAATCTATTTTCCACCCGAAGTATCATATAGCACTAGATATCTTCGGAACTATGCCTATATAGCACTAGATATCTTCGGAACTATGCCTTGGTTCTATATATCTCCGAGATTAAAGTTACAAATTTGTATCCACACGAATGTTGGTTTCACATTGACCTGTTGTTGGTTGCACGTTAACCTGATACTAAACCGAACAAAAACCAAATCCACCTATAACCGGACCCGTTACCAAACCCGTTGACCCATTTAAAACATCCAAAATTCCCAAAAGTTCCTAAATCAAAAATCCTAAATCTCCTTTCTTTGAACCCAAAATCGATTCTGCATAATCGATTACTACAATCGCAAATTTTTAAAATCCAATAGAAGTTCTTCATTATTCTGTACTCTCATTCTTCTATTTCATACCTAGAAGCTAGCTATTCTCTTTTTTTTTTTTTTGCTTTGTTGATTCTCGTAGTGTAAGTCGATTTCGATGATGTGTGGATCTACGAGTGTTGTGTCATGAGTTTCGACTGGATCATCAACTGGTCGGCGAAGAAGTGGAAGAGTTGTAGACGTGCCCAAGAGATGTTGGTGTGGCCAGGAGATTCTGGCTTTGATGTCCAAATCGGACAACAATCCTTATCGGCGATACTTCCGTTGTGGTTATGCTGCATAAAAAAAGATAATATAAATGCTTTTTGATTTGTTTTACATTGCTTGTGATTCATTTGGATGTGATTGTTATGGTTGTCGATATTTTTTTTTCAGCTTATGAATGATAATCGTATATTCAAATGGGTTGATGAGGCATTGTTGAACGAGATTGAGTCATTACAAATCAAAAATGCAAGACTTGAGCAAGAGTTGAAAGAGATAACAACAGAGCACATGGAGTTTGAGAAGAATGTTTTTGAGAAGGTTCAAGTGAAGCTTGAGAATGAGATATTGGAGAAGGTTGAAGATGTTTTGGCTGATGCTAAATGTAGCATGAAGAAGATAATGGTTCTTATGGTCATGGGGTGTATGATCTTTGTTGGATGCATAAAGCTACTTGGTTGAAGAAAATGGATATCTTATATGATTATGTTTGATCTGGTTTTAGTTGTTGTTTGATCTGTTTTTGGTTTGTGGTTGTTTTTTTTGAATTATTGTGAATCAGGTTGGTTTTTGAATCATCTGTTTTTGGTTTCGGGTGTAATGACATAAATTTAACAAAATTTCAAGCAATTTTAGCTTCTGAGTTCTGCATTTATTGTTTTCGGATCACTGCAATAGTTAATAACTTGAGACACAAAACCAATTTGGTTATTGACCAAAAACATCCGAGACAAACATAAGATATACTGATTGTCAAAATGAGAGCATAATATAGAAACCAAAAGCATCTGAGATAAGGACAACATATAACCGAAAAACACTAAAACGAGTTCTCTCTTGCCTATAACTCTAAAACTGCCCATAATCTACTACCAAAAGATAAATCTTCTTCTAAGCCGAGAAACACCAAAAGCCTGCAATAAGCCGAGAAACACCAAAAGCTTGCAATAAGCTGAGAAACACCAAAAGCTTAATCTTCTTCCATGCCTGACTAAACTTGAGTGAGAGTGCCTTGAGAGGGCTCGCTTTGAAAAGCCTGCAATAAACCAGAAACACAAACAAAGCTCAAACCCAAATCACAAACAAACAAAGCTGAAATACAAACAAACAAACCAGAAATATCATAAACAAATGACAAACAAAATTCAGAAACAACAAACCTCTATAGAATTTTTCTTTTTTTGTGAAACCTTGAGTTATGACCAGCTTCACTACATATTCCACAATGCATTATTCGTTTCTTATCTTTTGGCGTCTTCTTTGTTGGAGACTCATTCACACATTCTTTCCTCTTCTTATCAGCCTTAGTTACCTTCTTCCTGCCAGGTTGATCCTGTTCAGAACATGTACATTAGGATGATCTGTTGATGGCCAGAACCGTGCACCTCTCACAGGAACAAGGCTGTCTTCATAGTTCCTCGTCCACATTGCTGTGCAAAACCAGTGACAAACAAAATCTTCGGCTACAAGTGTTTTGACCATTATAACTCCATAGGCATGCTCGCAAGGAATACCACATATATCAAACTTCAAGCACGAGCAAGTCCTCTCCTCCAAGTTAACATGGTAACCGCAACCACTCCGCCTTACTTCATAGTATCCATTTGTACCTCTACTAAGCATGCATAAAGAAGCTGCTTCATGCTCTCCTGCAAGGAACTTAGTAACATATGGTGTACAAATCCCAAAAACAAAAGAAAAAAAATTAAGTTAAACAACCTATTACACTTCAACCGTAAACAGAATCATAAAAATGTACCTTTGTGATTAAGAGCTTTGACAGATCTTTTGGCAATATGAACCATAGCCAGTCTTCTTATAGTCTCTAGCATAGGAATAAATGCCTTCTCTCGTGCCTTCTTAATTATGTTGTTGAAAGACTATGGAATTGTTTTCCACATCTTCACAATAGCTCCCCATCTTGTAGAAAGCTCTGCACCAAGTCTTTGGATTTGTCTTTTGAACATCATGGTAGACACCACTATCATAGTTCAACAGCCTGTCCAAGTTCTCTCGAAACTGTGCTTCATTGTAGCTCCACGCCAAATTCCATATGAGTGGCTTCATGTGCTTTTTGCTACCATGATTCTTCTTCAAGTTCCTATAGATGTGTCTCACACACATCCTATGTTCAATCTTTGGCAATTCATCCTTAACGACTTTGATCAATCCCTAAAAAAAAAAAAATACACGAGGCAGTTTACTTACCTTTTGACGAGAAGACCAAGTCAAATAAACAAATACACGAGGCGAGTTACTTACCTTTTGACGATCAGATACCAGGATATATTCATTGCCATCAACTAGTCTAAAGTCTTTCTTCACATTTCTCACAAACCATAACCAATTGTCAGGGCTTTCCACTTGTACGCAACCCCATTCTATTGGATAAATAGCATTGTCTGCATCTCTACCTAGAGCAACCAATACTTGTCCCTTGATTTTCCCTTATATAAATGTATAATCAAGTCCAATGAGAGGCCTGCAAGTCTGTTTCCATGTTCTTCTCAGCACACCAAAGCACATATAGAAACTTTTAAATACATATAGACCTTCATCGTTTTTATAAGTGTCAATCTCCACAATTGAATCCTTGTTTGACTCTAGTAACTCAGCAGCATAATCTCTTAGGCGAGCAAACTGATTATCATATTCATATTCGATCCACCTTGATGCCTTATTCCTAGCAGCTTGACATTGAGGCCGAGATACAACAATCTTCCATCTTTTCATCACAATTTCCTCAATCTTCATAGGCATATAATATTCAGGTTCTTCGCTAATATTATCAACAAACATTATAGCAATCACATGAACCTTAAATATCTCACATTCTCCATTAGGACCACAACTATGCTCTTCTATGAACACCCTAACTCTCCACATTGCATCATTTGGAAGGATTGAAACATATATTTGCCATTCACAACCTTCGACTATGCCTTCTTCGATATCACTAACACCACCAACACACTTAAAGCCTATCTTATCTTTATCATACCTATATTGCTTCAAATTTCGGCCTGTTCTTAAAGCATAGTCGAGAACGCACTCCTTGAAAAACTCCATTGAAGAATGTCTGATTATTGTACAATCTCCCATCGCCACGCCGGATATGATTTGCATGTCTTTGTATCTCTCGACGACCACCTTCTACTTCACTATCGTTGTCGCTTTCAGTTTCTGAATAAACATCGTGCTGAACTGGATCGTCGCCGATGAACATTTTGACAAGCCTTTGGATTCAGTATTCTTCTCGGTCCATTGCTTCTTCATCGAATTTCTCCTTCGCCAACCTCTTCTCGATTCACTAACGCCATTTGAAACACCTAAATTTTGTATTCAAACATCTAAATCGAATGGTGATTTTTAGGATTTGGAGATTTGTGTGTTTGAGATTTTTTTTCTCTCTTTAAAACTTGCGATTTGGGGATTTCCCGGCTAAGAGTTAATCATCGGTTAACTATTTTGGTTTGGGTCATCAATCGGGTATTAGTGTTGCAATCGGGTCAAACTTAGGTTTAGTTTTGGTTTTGTGTTGGTTAATGATTTTTTAGAAAACCGTAAACCAAATAAAACTGAGATCTATGGGTTTTAAAATTTTTAACTTTAATTTCGTGTGGATACAAGTTTGTAACTTTAGTCTCGGGGTGATCTGGATCTTTAACTTTAGATTTGAGGATAATGAGGGCATAGTTCGGGGGATATCTAGTGTTATATGATACTTTGGATGGGGAAATAGATAGTCTTTCCTTTATTTTATTATATTTATTAATAAAAATGTGATGGTAAATATTAGTTTATAAATTGTAAATACCATTTAAAAGTTTTATAAAAAAAATGGTGATATAATAATATTAAGGTTGATCATGTTTGGAGAGTGAAGTTGCCAGACATGGTCAAAAAAAGTATTCGAGAACAGAATTTATATTGTGATAGTGGTAGTGGTTTA